GTAGTGGTTAAGAGTGGTAGCCTCTAATATGGGAACCAGGTGTGATTTCCTGTTCCTCCACATAAAGACTGCTGGGTGACCTTGGAACTCCCTCAGCCCCCACCTACCTCACAAGGTGCCTGATGTAGGGAGAGGAAGGGAAGGAAATTGTAAGCTCTTTTGAGACCATTTTGAGGAACCATTAACAACCACTCTTTGGGTGCAATCTGTCAAATAGGACTCACACTGCAACATTCTGGACTAGTTGGAGCCTCTGGGTCAGTCTCAAGGGTAGGCCAGCATAGAGCAAGTTACAGTAGTCCAGCCTGGAGGTGACTGTTGCATGGATTACTGTGGGTAGGTCATGGAGCACCAGGAAAGGGGCCAGCAACCATGCTTGGTGCAGATGGTAAAACACCAATCTGTCAGTATTTGTGACTTGTGCCTCCATGGTCAAGGAGGCAACCAGAGTCACACCCAAACTCCTGACAGAGTGCACTGGTATCAATGATGCCCCATCAAGAGTTGGGAATAGGCTTGCCAAGTCCCCCCGGGGGGCGGGGAAACCCCTGCCCCAGAGGCCCGTTCCCCGCCGCTGGCGGATCAGACCCCGGAGGGAACCCCACCCCGACGTGCACGTCACCCAGAAGTGACACGACCACACCGGGCACGCTGGGGGCGGGGCCATGGTCATCCGAGGGAAAACTCTATGGTTTTCCCTCGGATGGTCGTGGCCCCACCCCCAGCGTGCCCGGCGTCGTCACGTCACTTCCAGGTGATGTGCGTGTGGTGTGCGTGCGCTTTGTGCGCGCGCACTCCAACCGCCAGCCGCGAGTCCCCCGCTGCGGCTCAAAACCCACTTGGCAACCCTAGTTGGGAGCCTGAACCCCAACCCCAAAGCCCCCCCAGCCAGAGAATCTCCATCTTTCCTGGGTTCAGTCTCAGTCTGCTCTTCCTTAACCACCCTGCCACAGCTGCCAAACCCTCAGCCAGATGTTGCAGGGTGGCATCTGAGTGGTCGTTCAAGACCAAAACTCTGAGCCAGTTGGGTGAGGGAGTGCATTTAGGTAGGAAAAATCAAATGCATAATTATAGGATGGGGGAGACTTGTCTTGGCAGTGTGAAAAGGATCTAGGGGTAGACCATGAATCAGCAGTGTGATGTGGTAGCTAAAAAGGCAAATGCAATTTTGGGCTATATCAACAGAAGTATAGTGTCCAGATCACATGAAGTGATGGTATTGCTTTACTCTGCTCTGGTTAGACCTCACCTAGAGTATTGTGTTCAGTTCTGGGCACCACAATTTAAGAAGGATATAGTCAAGTTGGAATGTGTCCAGAGGAGGGCAATGAAGATGGTGAGGGGTCTAGATACCAAGTCCGATGATGAAAGGTTGAAGGAGTTGGGTATGTTTAGCTTGGAGAGGAGATGACTGAGAGGTGATATGATAACCATCTTCAAGTACTTGAAGGCCTGTCATATACAGGATGTTGCAGAGTTGTTTTCTGTTGCCCCAGAAGGTTGGACCAGAACCAACAGGTTGAAATTATATCAAAAAAGTTTTAGGCTAAACATTAGGAAGAACTTCCTGACAGAGCGGCTTCCTTAGTGGGCTCTCCTTCTTTGGAAGTTTTTACACAGAGGCTAGATGGCCATCTGACAGCAATGCTGATTCTGTGAACTTAGGCAGATAATGAGAGGGAGGGCAGGAAGGGTTACATCAGGGCTTAGTTCTTGTGGCCCTTTCTTACACGCCCAGGGAAATGCTGATTGCTACTTTGGGGTCAGGAGGCAATTTTTCTCCAGGCCAGTTTGGCTGGAGATCCTGGAGGTTTTTGGTCATCTTCTGTGCATGGAACAGGGGTCACTGAGGGTGTGTGTGGGGGAGGTATTTATGGATTTCCTGTATTGTGCAGGGGGGTTGACTAGATGACCCTGGAAGTCCCTTACAGCTCTATGTTTCTATGACTCTATTTGATGATTCTATGAGTATTGCCAGAGGTCATTTCGGGGAGGATCGCGGGGGATCGCAGTTCCCCCGGGTGAGGTATGGGGGGTGGGGCACATGACAAAGCCCCGCCCCCTGCTTCCGGCCGCCCCGCTTCCGGCCCTCATTCAGCCAGGAGGAGGCAGGAGAAGAGGGAGAGTAAGTTGCTTCCTCCCTGCTTCTCCCCACCCCTGCCTAGCACTCTCGCCGGCCTTGCAGGTCCACCACCGGGCCCCTCATGGGGCTCGGCAGTGGAGCTGCAAGGCCAGCGGTGGCGGCCGGGACCGTTGGGGGCGGGGGGTGTGGCCTTATGACACACTTCCGGTGATGTCAGGGGGTGTGGCCTTATGACACACTTCCGGTGATGTCAGGGGGTGTGGCACATGCTAATGAGTTATGCTAATGAGTTCCCCTAGCTCTTTTTCTACGAAACGACCCCTGAGTATTGCTCTTTCTAGTCTTCTCTTTCTCTGGGAGATCATGGTCACTGTGGTTCTGGGACCTCTTGTGGGCTTTAGCCCATGCTGTTCCATTGAGCCACTTCAGTATGCTAAGTTTCCTGCACACAGGAACAAGGAAAGGAAGCATGTCAGAGGCTTGGCCCCTGAGATGTACATTCAATGCTTAGAGCAAACATGGATGTTGACTTTGGGTTTGGGTGGGGTAGCACAAAATCAGCTACTGAAGACTGCTAGGACTAGACCTGGACAAAAACATGTGTAATGGTTAGAGTTCGACTAAGATCTGGAAATACAGGCTGAAATCTGCCTTGGAAGCTGGGCCTAGACTCTAGTTTCCACAGTCATCCTCTAGGTCTTCCTGGGGCTCTGCTGGTAAGTTATCATTTCACTGTTTTTTTAGCAGGGTGGGAAGGGTGTATCTTTGTGTATAGCTTCCTTTTACAGTCCTTTTAATGAAGTTTCCTTGTACAGTCTTTTTAATGTTGCAGACTGCAACTTGCAGTACTGCTGGGAGGGAGGTTCCAATGGGGGGGCTATAGCCTTTCATAGAGCTTTCCCTTTAGGCAGGATTTCTTTTCTCAACTTTAATTGTGTGTAACATAGGAAGTTGCCTTATAGTCTTGTTCAGTAGTATGACATTCTGTAAAATGCTTTAGTTTAATTAGCTGCTGCCCCCCTGAGGACTTTAAATACCCCCCAACGAAAAAAAATTCCTGGCTATGGGCTTGAAGCTGGCTGAGTTATCTTGGTCCAGTCAGTCATGCAGCCTAACCTACCTCACAGGGTTGCTATTGTGAGAATAAAACTGAGGAGGAGAGAAGAATGCTGTAAAGTGCTTTGGTTCCCCATTGGGGAGAAAAGCAGGGTATAAATATCTAAATCATCAATTTATCTAATTCTCAGCATGGCCAGATCTGTGGGTACTTAAATCCAGTTTGGAGTAATGAACAAAGAGAACAATTATTTCTACAAACACCAGATTTGAAGGAAAATCTGAAAACTAAAAAAGGGTGTTTTTTTGACCCCTCATATAATAGAAGTAGCACCTGTAGTTTTAAGGAATGAATGCCCTCAGTGGCCATTGCTAAGCAACAACAGTATTGCCAGCCTTCAAGCCTTAATCTCCTTGTGTGTTCCTCACTGAACAACTGGCCCTGGCCCACTGGTTTCCCTGGAAGAGGCTGCTAGGGGCAGGGAAGGAAGGAAATCTGAAGACGGGGGTCAGATAAAGGTAGGTTGGCTGGTGGGTGGCAAGTAGATAAGGAAGCAAGGAAAGGAGAGGTTATGGGGTTTTCAGGGAATGGATAGAAGAAATAGTGGGGAGTGGAAAATGCAGCACCCCACTCAAGTCCTTTCAGGTTGTTTGCTGCACAACTGAGCCTGCTCAGACAGACAGCACTGTGCAACTGGGCCACAGTTTTACCAAGTGGAGGGAGCCAGAGGGAGGGAAGGAAGGAAGGAAGAAAAGCTGAAAACTGGGGAGCAGATAAAGGTAGGATGGCTGGTGGGTGGAAAGGAAGCAAAAAAAGAGGCTATGAGTGCTTTCAAGGAAGGAAAAGATATAATGGGGTAAGGGAAATGAGATGCTCTCTGCAAGTCCTTGTGGGTAAAAAAGGTAAAGGTTCCCTTGCTCGAAAGCCAGTCGAATCCGACTCTAGGGTTGCGGTGCTCATCTCCGTTTCAAAGCCGAAGAGCCAGCGCTGTCCAAAGACGTTTCCATGGTCATGTGGCTGGCATGACTAAACACCGAGGCGCATGGAACCCTGTTACCTTCCCACCGAAGTGGTCCCTATTTATCCACTTGCAATTTCTTGCTTTCGAACTGCTAGGTTGGCAGGAGCTCCGTCTTGCGGCAGCTGGGTCTCAAACTGCTGAACTACTGACCTTCCACAGCCTGCAGTTCAGCGTCTTAGCCACCGCAGCTCCCCTTGTGGGTAAATACTTGTAAATACATAAACTACATTCCTCAGGGTGGGCTCTATCTGTCCAACTGCAACAAATAGTATCTCCTTGCTGAATTTTAGGTGCAAGACAAGTTTAATGAATTTGAGTCAGAGATTATCTCAGGAACAGATTTTAATACTCCTAGGGAGTTAAAACTAATAAAAAGGAGTGGGGCGATCCCCTCAATCACTTAAGAATAAATGATAGCATCTAACTGGGACACAGAGTGTGGGTGGTAGTGCTTTAAAAAAACTAGGACCAGCAGGCTAGAACCCGCTTTCTCTCCTCCTAGGAGGAGTACTTGCCACTGGATATCCTGGAAACACAGAAATCGCCAGTCGGTTTCCCCTTAGAAAACTCAAGTCTGTCTCTCAAGACCCTTCCCCACGAGCCTTCATTTGGCCTCCTTACCGCCTCCGTGCCGCTAACCAAGCTCCCGTTAGAAACAGAGACGCCGCAGTCTCTCCTTTCCTCTCCCCCCCCCCACGGGGGGGGGGAGTAGGCCGCCTAGTTCACAAACGCCCATTGCCCCTAAGGCCCTCCTTCTTCCCGCTTCCCCCTGCTCCTCCCCAGTAGCCTGTTATAGTGCGCGAGGGGGCGGGAACACAGGCGACTCGAGACTTGGCTGGGGAACAAGGAGAGAGAGAGGAAAGGAGCTGAGGCGTCTCGGACCAGGTTAGCGGTGTGCAACAGGTACTGCTCTCCCGGCGGGGGTGGCAATTACCCGGCCCCGGCCGTGGAGGCTGGCGGAGCAGCGGCCGGTGCTCCACGTGCGGGCAAGGACGGGGTGGAAGGCGGTAGGGGCGGAGACAGCGAGTTGAGGGGCATGTGGGGCTGCCGCTCGAACAGTCCTTAGTCCCGGGATGGGGCCACGAGGGACAAGAGGTGTATGTGGGGTGGACAATAGGGAGATTCTCTGGCCACGAGGTGATAGAGAATAACCGCCTGGTTGGAGGAGGGGGCGAGCCCTGGGGTTTCGGCTGATGATGTGCCTATCAGGAGTCGAGTAGAGAGCATGAAGGCTGAAGGTGCGGGATACGTGGTCGGCTGGCCATCCTGTTATGGTGGACGTGGGAAACCTTCCCCCTCCCGGGTGATCGTTATGTGGATTTGGGGCCGTTTTATTGCAGTGCTCGCTGATTGCTGCCAATCTCGGCCGGGAAGGGGAAGGCTTGCTTTGTGCAGGGGGCTTTTATGCTTAAACACGTGGGATTAGGTGGCAGAGGTTTAATGGACTGATGGATGTACATCTTCAACAGGGTTAGAATTGGACGTGGGTGATTCGAGCTCATGGTTATGTGTGTGATAAAGAAAAAAAGAGAGATCCTCTTTATAGCTTTAATGTTAGATTTGAGCATCTTCATGCTGAGAGACTGATTTAATATCTCTGTGCATAGCTTATCTGGAAGGCAGTGGATAACTTCATCACAGTCAACGCAGCACACAGTTTCACTTTTTCAGCCCATACAAAGTAGGGATTTTGCTCTGATGTTGGAAGTTGATTCACACTTGGCTCAATAAATTCACATGTGCGTTTTGTTGGTTGACTCACAATTGAATGTATAAACTGTCTCCATTTTGAATAGACTAGTATTTGGGGCACAGCAAGGTAGTATGCACGTTGTATCTGTGCTGTTTGATCTGTGATGTTTCTTATGCATCAGTGTCTTTATTTGATGTTGCAGCCAGGAAGTGATAAAGAGATCAGAGTCTAATGCCTGTGAATTACCTAATGTGGAGTACAAAATGTAATGGATGCTCTGTGTGATGAGAATGGGGTAAAGTATTAATAAGATCAGGGGATAACTGTGGCTCCATCTGTAGCAAATGAACAAATGCTTCTCTTTGACTGTACAAATACCTGTTATTACAGGAACAGGACACACAACTCTGGATAGCTAAAATTGATATGTTCCCTCTGTGAGTTTGTGAGCATCCAAAAGGTTATGCTTTGGATGGGAGGGAGGGGTGGAGACTTTCTCACATTTTTTTTTTCTGGTAGGGTCTTGCCTTGTTTACTGTGCTATCTTGTGGTGACTTTTTAATTTTAAGAGTGACACATAATGCCAAATACTGGAAACATTCTGAGTATAGAAATAATTTGTGGAACTAATGTACTGTGCATCGTTTTCTTCAGGCACAAGTAAGATTTAGCAGTTAGACTTCAAACAGGAATTGCCCAGATTTTTAGCAACACTGTTATTGGCAGTTTTCAATAAAGACTGTATGAGAGAAATGTAATGCTTCTCTTCATTCACCTTGATCATATTATTACGCATGATCTGTTTTAGGTTATATGGGCTTTTTTGTTTGGGGAAACTAAGGTTCGATATTGTGAAATGATGTTGCTGAGATTTTCGGATTTGTGTATCTTCCAAAAGTCAAAACAGAAGGAAGTGGTTTAAGAGGCACTGCTTGGCACAGAACTGGGTCATTGGCCTTTTGCATTACCTAGATCCATGTGCATAAGTAGCATTCTCTGTGTGTTGCCTGAGGACCTGGATAGACATTTACATCATCTGAGTTGTACTGATCTAGCAGGATGCATTTTTTATTGGAATGCATGTTAATATCCATGGCCACCAGTTAATATGCATACCTGGTTGATTAAAACGGAGGAAAGGAGAATGATGTAAACTGTCTTGGGTCCCCATTGGGGAGGAAGATGGGGTATAAATGAATTAAATACCCAAGACTGTAACTGGATTGAGGATCCCCCCCCCCCATAACTACCAGTTACTTTTCTAATGGGAAGATATGCAAAATAATGTACAGAGAAAATGATGGTTTGGCTGTGATACTGGCAGATCCTCTTGCATTTCTCAGTTTCAGCTATTATGGTCCACTACATGGAAAGATTTCTTGGTGAGTTTGGAGTGCAGTCTGTTTTGAAATGGTTGTTTGCGAAGTGGCTTGCCTCTACAACTTCTGGCACATTTTTTCCTGACACCTATATGTGTCATTATCTCTTTCCCACAGTGGGGTATTTGTGTCTGATATGGAGTCTCTCTTCTGTAGTATCAGAGCGGGTATGACTCAGCCGTGGAAACAGCTGGAGGTGCACAATCTTGTACATTTTGTACATACAATATTGAGTATACCAGCATTTGCAATAGCAGCGCAGAGAATGAATGCTTTATAATTAAAACAGCCATGTGCTGCATGGCTACGTCCACTTTGATACTAGCACAAACTGACTGAATTAATTAGGTGTGAAAGCTCAGTGGCTTTATCGGGGCAGGTCGAACTTTACTAGATGATCCCATCATTTATATGCTGTCATTGATCGTATATAAACCTTAAGCGAACTGAACCTTGATGTTGGCTCTACTACAAAAACAAGCTTGTTTCAGGCCTGCTGCTATAGCTTTAAGAACAGCTAGACAGTAGAATCTTCTGTAACTAGGTATTTATTAAACTTTGAAACTGGCAGTCCCTCAAAATGGGCCCTTCCCCCCTCAAAGTCTGAGTTGGTGTGTTGCACCATTTAAAAATACCATGCTAAATGATGCACTCTCAGCTTGACCTGTCTCACAGGGTTGTTATGAGGATTGAATGGAGGAGAAGAGAATTATGCACACCACTTTGGGGAGCAAGGTGGGGGATATAAATGAAGTAAATAAATAGCAAATATTGTATTTTACTGTGGCCAGCACAGCCCTTATTTAAGCAGCCTGTCTTTCTGCTACCTCCTTTTTTTAGTCCCATTGCAACATGTTTGGCTGTAGCTGTCCCCATAACAAGAACCATTTCTCATTGTTATAAAACATAATCCTGATGCAACTGACAGTGTCAAATAGCAATTGTATGCATGAGTAACTACTAGAAATCCCACCCCTATAGCTTGTCAAGGAAATTAGAAAACCTAACTCAAGGTTGCATCTGCATTACATCAGTCAGCTTCATGTCCTTGAATCTTTTGCTTCCAGGTATGTATGGCCAGATCATCATCACCACCTTTGTCTCCTTTTTTCTGTTTACCAAACAAATATGCTGTTTGTGGTTTACTTGTTTTGTAGATGGTAATCTCATAAAGCCCTTTAACATCTGGTAGATGGAGTACCTTGTATTCCTTGGTGTCACTGTTTTACTTCTGAACAAATAAGGGTGTGTTGGCACTAGTGTACTTTGCCACTTCAGCTCATGCCTGATGTTTTCCTGGTTACTTCTGGTAGAGACTTATTCCCTTGTTTTAGAACTGGACTCTGATTTGAAATTCCCTTTGCCCCCAAATGTTGCATTTGTTGCATAGTAAAAAAGGAGGCAACTTTGGGGTGGGACTGTAATGTAGCTGCACCTTGTGCAAGGTCAGAAGCAAATATCTCGTCCCCACTCAAAAGTTAGCAGAAGATAATTAAATGTCTAAGGTGAATGGGCACAGTTGAGGAAAATCAACAGGGGGAAGAATCCTGTAAGGAACATAAGAACATAAGAGAAGCCAATGTTGAATCAGGCCAATGGCCCATCCAGTCCAACACTCTGTCACACAGTGGCCAAAAATACCAGGTGCCATCAGGAGAGCCAGCAGTGGGACAAGGACACAAGAAGCCCTTCCACTGTCCCCCCCACCACAAGCACCAAGAATACAGTGCATCACTTGCCCCAGCCTGAGAGTTCCTATTTATACCTTGTGGCTAATAACCACTGATGGACTTCTGCTCCGTATGCTTATCTAATTCCCTCTTGAAGCTGTCCATGCTTGTAGCCGCCACCACCTCCTGTGGCAGTGAATTCCATGTGTTAATCACTCTTTGGGTGAAGAAGTACTTCCTTTTATCTGTTCTAACCTGACTGCTCAGCAATTTCATTGCATGCCCACAAGTTCTTGTATTGTGAGAAAGGGAGAAAAGGACTTCTTTCTCTACCTGCTCTATCCCATGCATAATCTTATAAACCCCGATCATGTCACCCCTCAGCCGTCTTTTCTCCACGCTAAAGAGCCCCAAGGAAGATATTGCAGTAATTGGGGACTTTCCTAGACTTATGGGATAGTCTGTGCCTTTAATGGATTATGTCATATCTGTGTACTATTATAGAAGAGTAGCTGTGCTAGTCTTTAAGGAGTTTGCTGCAGGTACAACAAAGGGGGGGTCTAGTTCCTCTGCAAACTAAAGCTATACATTCAAGTAGTTAAGATCAAAATAGACTGCAAGCTGTAGGAGTAACCTTATTGAATAACATGAGAATTACTTCTGGTTAGAACTGCTTAGAATTTCCTTTTGCAATGCAATACTTGGTCTTCGGACAGCGCTGGCTCTTCGGCTTTGAAACGGAGATGAGCACCACAACCCTAGAGTCGGATTCGACTGGCTTTCGAGCAAGGGAACCTTTACCTTTACCTAATCTGCTAACACTGCACTTATAATTCATATAGTATTTCGGCAATTCAGTCTTGTAGTGCTGCTTCACATGCTGTAGTACAAACAGAATCTTTTGCTTTACCTAAAAGTGGCATCCTGTGTGAGGCAAGTGGGGCAGAGCCATAATAGGGACATTTACTGTGCTCCGAAAGCCGTCCTGCTCCATTCTGAATGCAGCAGTGGAAGGGAATTGGAAGCTGAGCTCTTTCTGTGTGTGTGTGTGTGTGTGTGTGTGTGTGTGTGTGTGTGTGTGGGAGTTAGGACAGTTGGAGAAACGTAATCCATACATAGGTGTTCCCTACAGAAAAGTAGCTATATCCAAAACATTTTAGA